AGCACAGTGGTCCACGCCTATAATCCCAGCACTTTGGGAGGCCAAGGTGGACAGATCGCCTAAAGTCAGCTGTTCGTTAACAACAGCCTGGCCAACATGGTGAAACCTTGTCTCTACCAAAAATACAAATTTACCCAGGTGTGGTGGCAGACACCCATAGTCCCAGCTACTCAGGAGGCTGAGGCAGGAGAATTGCTTGAACCCAGGAGGCGGAGGTTGTGGTGACCTGAGATCACGCCACTGCACTCCGGTCTGGCAACAGAGTGAAACTGTCTCAAAAAAAAAAAAAAATCCAGGCAGATGCAGCTTGTGGTACTGCCTCTCCTTCCTACCTGGAACAAGGATATGAAGCGTGGAGTCATGGCAACCATCTTGGGACCAAGAGACCACAAGCCCATTTAAAATAACCTGATATATTATGGTTAAACCACTGACATAACTCTGAACTGCTCTCTTCTCAATTTTTTATGTGAAAAACAATAAACTCTACCCACTTAAGCCATTGTTACTTTAGGTTTCTATTATATGCAGGCAAAAATAATCCTAATGGACACAGGGAGTTTGGTGCAAATGGATTCAGCGAGCAGATGTCTTCTGTGCACATAGTGGCTGTGATACCTTTAACAGAGCCACTTCACCTCTCCAAAACCAGCTTCTTTATGAGTGAGATCAAAGACACCTACCTCAAATCTGAGGATTAAAGAAGATAGTGCATGAAAAACATCTACCAGCAGGCTCGGTACATAATAGGTCTCTACAAATGCGCAATGAATGTGCAAACAGAATATGAAGACTCGAAGATATATTTGTGAGTTGATGAAATTGCAGGGGTGTAGGAAGAGGGGAACTGTCTAAACGTTTAAGATCCGAAGCAGCAGCTTTCTAACGAAACAGTCTGGGGGAGACAGTAATTCAAGGGAATCCACCTTTTTTTTAAGACAGAATCTCACTCTGTCACCTAGGCTGGAGTGCAGTGGCGCAATCTTGACTCACCGCAACCTCCGCCTCCCTGGTTCAAGCGATTCTCCTGCCTCAGTCTCCAGAGCAGTTGTGACTACAGGCGCGTGCCACCACACCCGGCTAATTTTTACATTTTTAGTAGAGACAAGGTTTTGCCATGTTGGCCAGGCTGGTCTCAAACTCCTGACCTCATGATCCGCCCGCCTGGGCCTCCCAAAGTGCTGGGATTACAGGCATAAGCCACCACACCCAACCCAGAAGTCTGACTTTATCCACTGTTGAATCGTGTCATTTCACAGCTAGGGAGGGGGTGATGAGGGACAATTTGCTAAGTGGATGTTGTTCAACTGGATAAGTCTGGCCTGGGATCCATACAAGTCTGTCACCTGTACAGGTCTTGATTAAAAGTGGGGAAGGAGCCCGGGTGAGGTGGCTCATACCTGTATAATTGCAGCACTTTGGGAGGCCGAGGTAGGAAGATCACCTGATGTCAGAAGTTCAAGACCAGCCTGACCAACATGGTGAAACCCCATCTCTACTAAAAATACAAAAAATTAGCCAAGTGTGGTAGCAGGTGCCTGTAATCCCAGCTACTTGGGAGGCTGAGACGGAGAATCACTTGAAACTGAGAGGCAGAGGTTGCAGTGAGGTGAGATTGCACCACTGCACTCCAGCCTGGGTGACAGAGTGAGACTCTGTCTCAAAAAGAAAAAAAGCTGGGGAAGGGAGGGTGCCAAGAAATACAAACACCAAACAACATCCCCTTAAGCCAGGAAGCAAGAAAAGCCTGAAGGGCGGCTGAGACAGAGCCCACGTCCTGGTGCTGAGTCTTGGGTCCATCTCTGTCTGCAGCACACAGCACCCTCCCCTCCACTCCCCATTTCCGTTTCCATGCCATCTATACCAATAAACCCAAAGTGACAAAGTGACAGCTGACAGGTCCTCTCCTTGTTTCCCCAGGAGGATCTCTGAGCCTCCCACATCCTTCAGGCAACCATCTGGCTCCTCCTCCTCCGACACCGAAGTCCAAGACTCCATGAACCCATCAGGGCCTGGCATTGCCAGCCTCGGGCATGACAACAGGCCCATTCCTGGGCCTCCATCTAGCTGAACAGACACGCTTGCCCTAACCACAAAAAGGGAACTCAATGAACCATTCTAAGTTTATTGGGCTACGCTGTCCTTAGGTCTATACGTGCCACCCCTGGGAAAGTCTGCTATTAGTCATGATCATCCTGAAATCATTTAACACTGATTTTGTGCCAGACAGCACATTAAATGAATCTCCCCATTTAACCCACCCTCTGAGGCTGGGTCTCATGATGAGGCCCATTTCATGAATAAGGACAAGGGAGGTGTGGCAAGTGGCTCATGTGGTGGAGCCAGGATTTGAACGCAGGTGGCCTCAATCTAAATCCCATCCTGTTCATCTTCGAAGCATCAATAGTTGCTGTGTTATTAAGGGCAACCCCAGTGCCGGTGACATACCAAAGGCCCTACATGCATGTCTGTTAATACCCTCAATGACCCTTCTGGGGTTGATACTATTATTTTTATTTTTATGTTTT